GCTCTTTGATTGCAAAAGAGGCAATGGATGGGCAGGTGGCCCAAGTATGTGTTTATGTGTGTAGGAGAGTGAATTTCTTCTGTAAAAACGTTGTCAGCTGATTGAAGTCTGAAGAGAATAACAAACATCATCCTCCTGGTTTGACAGATGTCTCCTCTTGATAAATGCTTCAGAAACTCCCAGATTACTCTAGTTTATCACGTCATTATGTAAGATTTAAACTTGCTGACACTATGCCGCTTTCTTTTTTATTGATTTGTCTCATTGCCTGCTGGTGTTGACGTGAAAATAAAAACTTCTTCAAAATTAAATAAAACAATGTTTTCCATGGTGATGCTCTCAGTCAACTCAAACGGATGCATTACATTGGATCCTAAAGGTCCTTCAGGAAAAACGAAACAGCTATGAGCTTCTTTAAATAAAAAAAGATCCATGTCCAACCTTACTGACCATTGATGATGAGCATGTTGTTAAAGTGGCCTGTGGGTGTATTTTTATCATAGTGATATCATGATGAAACTTGATATAGTCTAAGATTTTGGATATATCAATATTTCATAAGTGTTGTATTTTCTTCTGTTTAAAGGCTGCATACACTTAAAGTCATGTCATTTTCTCAATAGGTACATCTTGCTAGTACCGGGTTGGACCCCTTTTGCCCTCAGAACTGCCTTGGTTCTTGGTGGCATAGACTCAACAAGGTGCTGGAAACATTCCTCCGAGATTTTGGTCCATATTAGCATGATCGCATCACGCAGTTGCATTATCTGTGATGCGAATCTCTCGTTCCACCACATCCAAACTGTGCTCTATAGGATTTGGATCTGGTGACTATGAAGGCCATTTGAGTTAACTCATTGTCATGCTAAAGTAACCAGTTTTAGATGATTTGAGCTTTGTGACATGAGAAGATGGGTACACTGTGGTTATTAAGGGATGGACATGGTCAGCAACAATACTCAGGTAGGCTGTGGCGTTTAAGCTATGCTCAATTGCGGCTAAGGGGCCCAAAGTATGCCAATATAATATCCAACACCACCACCACCAGCACCAGCCTAAATTTCCCTTTTTCTGACCATTCTCTGTAACCCCTAGAGATGGTTGTGCAGGAAAATCCAAGTAGGTCAGCAGTTTCTGAAATACTCAAACAAGCCCGTCTGGCACTAACAACCATAACGCGTTCAAAGTCACTTAAATCACCTTTCTTCCCCATTCTGATGCTCTGTTTGAACTTCACCAGGCCGTCTTGACCATGTCTACATGCCTAAATGCACTGAGTTGCTGTCATCTGATTGGCTGATCACATATTTGTGTTACCAAGCAGATGAACCGCTATACCTGATAAGGTGGCCAGTGAGTGTATATTGCCCAGCCCTAACCTATAACCAACATAGATTGAAACCAATATTGATAACATTGAATACAATTTAACAATTACATTAATATTGACATATTTGATATGGATCTGATTATTCTCAGCCTTCTTATTTACCAAATGTGTTGATAAATAACCAAGGGGATTACAGCATGGTGCACTTTAGAGAAGGATGGGGAGCTGGAGAGTTTCCAGAATTTGAAGGATAAATATGATCTGGATAAACATGACTTCTACAGGTACTTACAAATAAGGGACTACGACAAAAAGCAAATTAAAAGAGACCCCTCTGCTGAAGTGAATGGTGTGATTCAAATCATAACTAATTCATACAAAGAAACCAACATTAGAATCATAACTGCTCTATACAAAGTATTGTCCACAAATAAACATTCAACTAAATATATAAAAGAGAAATGGAAAACAGAATTTAACACAAGCATTTCAGATGATGATTTGCAAAACATGTGGAAGATACATACTGGGGAGGCTGTGGCTCAGTGAGAACTTTGAATCGGGGGATAGCAAGTTCAAACCCCACTGCAGTCAGCATGTCGTTGTGTCCCTGGGCAAGAAACTTCACCCCAAATTGCTCCTGTGGGGATTGCCCACAGTATTGAATGTATGTAAGTTGCTTTGGATAAAAGCGTCTAACAAGTGACATATAATGTAATGTAATACATCAATCATCCACCAATTCACGGATATGGAGGGAATACTCATGGAAAAATGTGATCAGATTGTTTATCACACCTAAGATTCAGAAATACAAATCCTCTGTGCTGGAGAGAATGTGGAGAATCACAGGCCAACCATGCATATATATTTTGGAAATGCAAAAAAATACTTAAGTTCTGGGAATCGATACACAAGGTTTTGCAAAAGATACTGAGTTATGAGGTTCCTATGGACTACACTACATGGTAATCTATCTGGGCAATTGTACAGAGGAAAATGTTCACTACATAGATAGATATCTTTTAAAAATGCTGTTGATAGCTGGCAAGAAAGCCATAACAAAAAAATGGTGAAGGGTGGAGCCTCCTACTATGGAACAGTGGATGCAGATCGTGGAGGAGATTCATATAATGGAAAAAATGACATATCGACTGAGACTGCAAGAAACACAATATGAAGAGAAATGGGAGAAATGGTCAATGTTTAAGATTCAAACCAGCGACAACGAATACTGAACTGTTCTGTCAAATGAGAATGTGACTCCCGACTGCATTTTTATTTTTTTTTTATATTATCTCTGTATTTGTATCTATAGCTGTATTGCATTGTTTATTTAGTTTGGGTTGTTATGTACGTGCACAGCTGTTGTTGTAATAAAATGTCAACAAAAAATGTGTTGATAAATACAAACCCCTAACTATTGAGAAGACATGTCATTTTTCTTTAACATCCACAAACGAACACATCCTCAAACTGACTCATCATGCCTGAAGTCCCAGAGGCACCATGTCAAGTTTTGTTAGTGTTAGCTGATGTTCACGCATGGCTATGAGTCCCCTCCACACTCAATTCAGATGGCATTAATAAACCTTTGCCAAACTGCCTATGGTCCTACAGTACATAAAGGCATCACCTGACTGTAACCATCGTTCAGGTAATTGCATAACCACATAATTTCTACAGCACGGCTATTTGTTGCTCATCCACGAGTGGGCCTTGTTGCTTTGGATAATAACACTGACTTTCATCTCTTCCCCAAATGATGAATGCACACAGAAGATTGGCCTTAATTGAGTGTGATTGCAACATCATCCAGCAGGGCTCAGCAAAAAAAACTGAATGGGTTTAGTGGTCTGTGATAAGATCTTTTCTTCCCGTTTCTCCTAATTATGTAAATGGCGTGGGCTATGGGGCTATGGAGGAAGGATAGGATGCTACAAGTACCTCCACAAAGAGAGAGGGATAAGAATGTAACCAAAATGATTTTTACTCAATGAATGTTGATAGGAATATTGTCGGTAGGTCTGCCAGTAAATTGAAATAACTAATAAACCTTTGGATGGATTGAAATTAAAATTGCACAGACTTTAAACTCCCAAGAGATGAATTGTAATACCGTTGCCTTCAAGCGCCATATTGAGATACAATTTCAGTTTGTCTTATATTTATTTTTTTAGACAATTACGACATACAGTACCTCAACCTCAGATGTGCCTCCTTTTGTGTTTAGAAATATTTAGTAAATGTTCGCAAGCATGACTGTATTGTGATTGTATATTGTATTTATTTAGATAAGGTTATGTGTTTTTGTGTATAATTGGAATATTATTAGCATACCTACATATTATAAGTATTTCCTGTTTCCCCCATTTCAATGTAGATAGCCGTTTTTACTTAAAAGGTTCATAGTTCTCTGACATATAATTATTATGTGTAAGCTAAAATACATTCATTGCGATATTTAATTATTTATTTAGCACCTCTGCCATCTTACTTGCATTGCAGACCTGCTACACCCAGTTTCTATGGTTACGCCTTGCTGTGCACCGCTCTTGGCAGTCAGAAAGTCCTCTGGAGCACTACCAATCACCTTAAAGCTGACAGGTAAGGCAAGGTGAGACTGGTACACATGCACGGTTTAAAGAAAAAAGAACAGGGGGAGTTCATACAACTGAATACAAATGGTGTGCCTCCAGAACCAGTTGCCAGATGTCTTTGCTCTTCACCCTCTCCTCATTAGTTGACAGTGCCTAAACTAGCATACCAACACATTTTCGTGGGGAATAGGAACATCCAGAGGACTATACACTCTTGAAATGAAGCCCGGATTAAAGCATGCACTGAGTCTCTCTTTGAACTATAGCATACATCTGTTGAGCTGCTCTGCTGACCTCCAGGACGCACCAGCCACTTTCTCAGCATCTCTGGCCCTTTCCTCGATGGGTAGCCATTCCCCACTGGGTCAACCTCAGAGCAGATGCTGCGCTTATATGTCCCCAAGGTGAAATGTCCTTAGTTTTCCACAAGGTCAGGTTTACTGCCACAGCTTCAAAGGAAATGGTGGTTGCTGGATCATTCTGGGGTGAGATGACAGTATGGTATTTGTGGGAGAAAGTGCAGGATGTATCAGCATTGACGTAAAAAGATAAGGCACGTTTTAAAAAAGTACATGTATTATTTGTGTGTTTGTGTGCAGATTGAGTAATTCATGCCATATAAATGAGTCCTTTTCTTATGGAAAATGTGTTTGGCTCTATCTGCCCCCCCCCCATGAATATAGATGAAAGTTCACAGGATTAGGGAACCTGTTCGTATTTTACTGCAGGTGTGTGTGTCATGCTCTCGTTATCGTGGGCTAGAAGAGAGAGAAAAGAGGCTCCGAGCGTATTGTGACATCAAAACGCGCTCCCGCTCATGACCTAGAAATTGAGCGTGCGTATCCTTTGTGCGTAAGCAAACAGTGAGCTTTTGTGGCACATGGTTCAGGCAGCTGTTTACGTTGTTGACGTTGATGCTTGCCAAAAATATAAATTAAATCGATTTTTCAAGAGAGCCCGGGTACGTTTTTTTTCGGGAGACACTCGAGTAGATGAAATAAATGCTAGTGTGTGGTCTCCTCGCGACCACTCAATGTCTCATTGTCTCATAATGCGCGCTCAAGCACGACGATAAACCCGTCAACAAGAAATGCACACGACCCCCTTCACCGTGTGAAAAATAACATGTTAAGAGCAGTGGGCACGAGCCTTTCAACGACCGACGATGACAACGCAGCTTGGGTCATAATTTTCAAATGATTTAAACGGGCGCATGCCAAATAGTAGGGCTCTCGTGACCCTGTGCGCTGGCTTCGCAACAACACACACACAACAATCATTTGATTGGGGGTTCGTTGTGCGTGCGGTAGGCGGAACCTGGGCACTCTTCACATCCCACTTTTGAGAAGATTACGAGGACAATTGTAGTGGGAAACACATTACATTTACGCAGTTTGGAGGGAAGGTGGACGGACGTAGCGGGACAGAGGCAGGACGAAACGCCACGGGAGGAGGCAGACCCATTAGCGAGCAGAGGATAGATCTGTGTGGAGATATTTGGAGTTGGGGGAGGACACTGGCACTTCACTGGTAAGGCACTGAATGCTTCTCGTTGACGAGTATAGCACCCACAATGTCTGAAACTTATCAATGAGCATGTTTTTCACATAGACAGGGACCTTAAAATAAAGAACATTAGGAAAAACGTTCCTTCGTATGTGCAGCATCAGCCTGCTTGCTTAGTCCGACTGTGACATTTAGCCTACACGGGAGTAAAAGTAAGGTCAAGATAACGTTGTTTAGGGTTGTTTCATTCAGGCAAGGTCCTTCGTCGTCAGATAACCATCCATAGAGAGATGCAATATTACTAAGCTCGCTGCACTTGATCTTCATTTGTCTTTTGAGATTCCCTTTACACTCCAAAGACCTCATTTCTAAGTGATTTCTTCATTCGGGCTTATCTTAGAATCAGCTGGAATAATTTGATACACAACTAAATACATGTTCACTCTGCCCAGAGTGCATCCTCTGACTTGAACAGTGATTCCAGTCATTCCCTCTCACTGCCACGACCCAGTATAGCTCAGTGATCAAATGTAATACTATAATGACAGCATGAGGCATCGTGTGCCCGGATTGTTACCAAATGCTCATGCAGGTGCATTGCACTTCACTTTTGGATTGTCTCTCGTGTTTTTAAGGATGTGCCTGGCAGAAGCATCCACAGCTGGCTCACACCACGTCACAGCTAGGCTACAGGTGCTATCAATTCTGAAGGATAAAATAAGGCTTTTGGTATGATATGTCCAACTATGCAAAAGAAGCCCTCAAATTAAATACATCTATAGCATTGTGCACAACATGCCATAGACTGGATACAACTCCTAACAGCGGCATGCTTTCTGGAGACACTTTCAGTCAGCAAGGTCCAGTTATTAACTCCTCCACGATGAGTCACCTCAAGGGCTTGTGAGCAGCAGGTGAGACAGTGGCAGACTTGACGGTTTGGAGCTGGTGAGAGCTCATGTCAAGCCCACATGGCCTCTTTCGTTATCATTGAGTGACACAGCTCTCTGCTCATCTCTGGCGTGTGCTGCCTCTCTCCAAACTCCATCCCACAATGAAATCACAGTGTAACAGACTTATCCAGCCTCAGCTTTGAGGCGTGCTGAGTTTTTGATCTGCTGTGAGATTAACGCCTGCATTTGTGTGTTTCAGGCTGTATCCTTGCACACGTGCATGAGAGGGAAAGCAAATGTACATGTTTTTGATCAGGCACATGCGTACACAGCTGGTTATTTGAGTTCAGAATGAAAGGTGCTGTTTCACAAATGTCATCTTATGGCAGGTTGATAACAAAATGTATCGATTGACAAGAAATTAGTAGTGAGCACTATGCAACAAAGGTCATAGCCATCATTCACATCTACTTTAGTGGTTCATGGCCAGCAGAGAATAAGCAAATATCTTCCTTAGTATTTGTTTCTTCTCTTTAAATCTGCAGTTAGTGGATGAGAAGTGTTCATGACTCCTTCTGCTGACTCCCTTTTATCCACCATTAGATGTGACACAGACAGAGATACTCAGTAAGTTCCTATTTGATTTGATCAAAGCCCTATTTCTATTTTAGATATCCTGTAGCAGTATCATCACCCCTTGCTGTTAAATACCAACAAACTATGTGCAATATATGCAATATATACATGCCGTTAATAACTGTGTAATATATACCTGGCTGCTAAATCCTTAGAACTGTTACAAGGTGTGTATTTTGTAAATTGTGTAACTTGCTGCTGTTAAATACCAACCACCTACGTGCAATATGTGCTAGATGTGCAATATATATATATATGCCGTTAATAACTAATATTTACCTGGCTGCTAAATCCTAAGAACTGTTACGGGATGTGTATTTTTTTTAAATTATGTAACTATTTTTTATTATATTTTTTTATTGTGTCATAACTTAGTACTTTTAAAAAAAAATGCATGTCACATATTTAACATAATGTAACATTAAGCTGTCTGTGGCTCTTTTCCCTGCTCTAACTACGCAAATGTCCCCTCCGTGGGACTAATAAAGGTATGCTGATTCTGATTCTGATTCTGTATTGATTTACATCTGTAGGAATGAAAAGGAAACATGAAGGGATTGTTCAGCCATGAAGTGCAATGTAGTTCACTGTGAGAAGAAAGGAACACCCTGCTGTGACTTTGTTGATTGTATTAATCTATGAAAGGCCATGATTTTTCTGTCTGGAGTTGAGGTTTCAAAAGGGATTTAATAAAAGCAAACTGAACAAAATTCCTTAAGTTTTTCCTTGTAGTTGTATTGGCACAGTAAAGCGGATGGATTAGAAGGTCTAGGCCTACAGTAAGGTAAATCTATCCTTTTGGCTCAAGTCATTTCACAGTATTTCTACATTTTGAAGAAGAATTGTAGTCCGGATTAGGTCACACCACTTAGAGCTCATCTGACCATTGGATGGTATATACGTAGAAAATGATTTCACTCTCAACACTTTGCTCAATCTACTGCTGATAACTGAACAGCAGAGTCTTACTTCAACGTCTTACAGAAACAACTGCTTCATGTAATTGAAACTGCATAATGGCCGAAACAATTTTGAAGTGGTCCATGTCTATGAGATGTGAGCAGTTTAAATGAATAGTAATTGTTTAGCTTGATTGATTGATCAGCCACAATACTTAACAACAGTGAACCGCTTTTATAGGGCGTTTCTTTTTCATTTCTTCTCCTCATAAGAAAGTCAGAGTAAAGGTTTGGTTGGTGTGAGTCTGTCTTGGTTCTTGTTGGTCTCGATTTATTTGCCAAAGACCCTTCAGTAGGAGGGAAAGTGTTAAGTCTTACCATTGGGTCAAATTAAACTGCCCAAAAGCTGAAAACAATCTTCCGAGTCTCAGCTATACTTGTATTTTGGCTCATTATCCATCGTTGGCTTATTGTACTCAGCACCTAGTTCTATAAGGGATTTGATGCTTAAGCCTTACATTGATCTGCTTACAGTCGGTGCCCGCTCTGATTGGGATTTGGACGTCCGTGGTGCTGCGGCATGTGACAGAGTCAGCAGTGCAACATCCAGCAGGGTGGTCAAACACTGCGTGAGTTGTACTACCAGCTCAATGAATGCATTCGCCCCCATGATGTACTCTCTTTCTTTTGCTCTCCTCCCATGTGATCAGGAGGAAACAGGAGTGAGCCGAGTGGCAGATGCCAGGAGAGATGGTACTTTGTTTGAGGGCGCATGATTGAGGGAAGACAGAGCTGGCTTTGAAAAGTGTGGTGTTGACAGAGGACGTCTGAATGAAAGGCTGGTTAGCTGAGTGCATCCTGCTGTATTGTTTCTAACCAATACACAACTGGCATACGCTTTCCTCAATGAGGTGATGTCCTTGACTGTGCCACTGCTGAGCTTTATGTTCGGTCCTTAGTCAATCTGCCTGTGAAGCCACAGTGCGAACAAAATAACTGCTGACCATCTGAGGAAGAAAAAATTAATTTGCTTTTATATCAATTCAACATTGCCTGGTTAAACAGGAGGAACTGCAATAATTAGTCGATTTATTGATCAAAATAAAATGACATTTCTTGAATATTCATTGATTTTTTTCAAATCAGCATATGCTACTTTTATAGGTCTTGCATTATGGTTTATTTAATATTTGTTGTTTTTACTGTTAGTTGGACTAACCAAGACATTTCATCACCTCACCACTTGTGCCATAAGATAATGTGAGTTTCTGATGTTCAAAAGACCGATCAATGAAGCCATGAATTGAGAAAAATTCATTGATACAGATACAAAATAACTGTTGATTAAAGCTCTATAAACTGGCTCTTTCTAAAGCTAGAAGAAGTACAGAAATGTAATATATGTTTTGAAACAGTCCCCATTTCATAGTTTATTGAGACTAGTGACAAATATATATATATTTTTGGTGTATATGTATTGTCACATTTGTATAAAAAAGAAAGGAAATAATATTTAAAACCATATAAATATATGATCATTTACATATAGAAAATTATATTGTCCACTGTTCTTTAAAGATATCTCAACAGTAGATCTAAGGGAAGTGTTTTATCTGTTAAATAGGAGTTTTTCAACTCCTACCAAAATATTTGTGTTTACTAATGACCTTTGCTACATTAGTAAATCCGTTCAGCTGCCAAGATTTTCCAAATTAAACTGATTTGGTATTGTCATCCAGAAACTGGTTGGCAGGCAAAACACAGTAGTCTGCTGGCCAGCTTTTAACACTTTTAAAATTCTTGCACACACCTGCAGTATGCAGCAACATTGTGATAACTTATTCATATACAGTATATTCATATAAAAAACATCTTGTTTTAAAGAAGTACATCTTTACTATTTTGTTTACCCTGACTTGCAGTCTTATTCATCTGGCAGTGAGTTTACTGGCCTTTGCTTTCAGGGCTGTATTTGGCAGCTGTCTGGTGAGAACTGGGCACATTTGATTTGCCATGACCCTGTCAGCATTGTGTTACTATCCAGGCCAGTTCTTACCAGCCTTACTGTACCACCCAGATACAATGAATGGCGTGCATGTGTTGAAACATGTTCTCTTTTTCTTAGAAAACAAAAAAGCATTTGATCCCAGTCATTTACTGCTTTGGCAATAAGCCTTAATTTAATCACATGATGACATCGATGTCATCACTTTTTGTATACATTTGTATAAATGTATCAATACCTAACATTGAATATACACCATCTTGGGTATCATTTCCCCCCCAATTCCCATTAGTTCCTTCTGCAAACAATGTGAACACAACATCACTTTGTCATTTTGCAATGATACTGCCCAAAATGTTAGCACCACACTATCTGGCATCTTGTAATAAAATGCGTGTTAGAAAAGTTTTATTGCACTGTATGTGACAAAAGGTGCTTGTTAACAGTTTATTTGCAGTTTTGCACAGCATAGGGTTATAGTGTTTGTACAGAGGAGATGATGGCAGCTCGTCAGCAAGAGAGCTGCAGGGCTGAGATCACTTTCCAGTCAAGTGAATCATTTGTTCTACATTCACAGTATGTTGTTGAAAC